TGAAGGACAGCGCCCAGGCCCAGAGTTCAGGCCCATGTCCAGACCCCCCTTTTCCCCCACAAAAAAAAAAAAAAGAATGAGCTAGACAAGTGGTAGAGCATTAGCCTTGAGCTGAGGGAAAAAGCACAGGCCCAGAGTTCAGGCCCCATGACCCACAAAAAAAAAAGGGGGCGGGCGCATGCTGGGAAGGTGGCTAAGTGGTAGAGTGCTTGCCCTGGGTTCCATTCCTCAGCACCACATAAGCAAAAAAAGCTGGAAGTGTTGCTGTGGCTCAAGTGGTAGAGCACTAGCCTTGAGCTGAACAGCTCAGGGACAGCGCCCAGGCCCAGAGTTCAGGCCCCACAATCAGAAAAAAAAAAAAAAGAGCCAGAGTTGGAGGTTCTGTTGCTGTGGTTAGTCACAGGGCATCTCAGGCTTTAAATTGCTGCAGCAACATCTAGTATTTTAGCGTACAGTCCTACCTGCTAGAGAGCCTTCTTTGTCAATGTCTGCTGCTCCACCCTCAGACTCAGGCCTTTTCTGTGTGACATTCTGCAGGCTGGGTTTTCCCCCTACAACAGGCTGCTGTTAGACAGCACTTTCTAACTTGGCTGTGCAGGGCATGTAACCAGGCTTAGGTTCTGTGTTCCTGAGTAATGGAGTGAGGACTTCTCAGTAATCCTAACTCACCCTCAACTGTAGAGATGGAGGAGCTGATAGCAGCAGTATTAAAGTTTTTGTTCAAGAAGATCCAGATAAGGTTTAATACTTTTTCTAAGTGAGTGCTATTCCTTCAAACCAGAATGTGCCATAAGAAAAGCTTTCCTCCCAAATATGCACTCTCCTCTCCCTCTCTCTCTCTTTTGCTCTCTCTCTCCTCCCCCCTCTCTCTCCTTCCTTCCCTCTTTTTTTTTTTAGGTGGAGGCAATAGTGGCATTTGAACACAGAACCTTGAGCAGTTATTTTTTCTAGTTTTTTTTTATTATCTTAGAAGTTGACATTTAACAAAACAGTGTATAAATACAATATATCAAGAAGCATCTCTTGAGTTTTTAATGCCCAAGCTGGACTCAAATCACAATCCTTCAGCTTTTAGCCTCCCAATTAGCTAGGATTTCAGGCATGAGACACTAGTATGGTTTATCCTTCTTCAACCCTGTGTTCTCTCCTGTGTCCCAAAACAATTCAGCAAAACCCTCGCCAGGATTCTAGACATTCATCTTCATGCACCAAAGACCTGAGTCATACTAGCTTTGCTTGAGAGATGCTAGCTAGAGTCATTCTTTCTCAGAATCTTCTCATACCCATGCTTGACTTTTACTATATCTGACAGCCCTTGAACATAATATATGATTCAGGCTTACAAATATTTCCTAAACTTGACAATGAAACAACATATGCATTTGTTTTTCACTTATTGTTTTGTGATTGAAAGAGGAAACAGTGGAATCTATTTTATATATCTTTAAAAGCATAGTTTTAGTAAGAGAATTTGTTCTCCATTTAAGTACTAGTGTAATTTGGGTATTTATCAGAATAGAAATAATATTTAAAATAACTCAAATATAGTTGATAATTACTAATGTGCCTTTCTATTCAAAAAAAGAACACTAAGACAATTTTAAAAGATTGACAAACACAATGAAGATAAAATACTCAACTGGGATGTACAATTCTTTAGATTTCAACCTAAAAGAGACACAATGAACTAAGAATCAGAGTAACTAATATGATTTGAGTTTATACATTAACGATAAACTGAAAATTGTGAGGCTCTTTAGCTTGTACAGACAACAGCTAAAAAGAACATGGTCTAACTTCACAAAATCATAGTAAACATTGAGTGTTAGTGTCATCCCAAATCCTAGACTAAAGGAACTATAAAACTTCCCAACTCCAACCCCTAATATATTTGGGGACAGAATCTTTATAGATAATGCCTCAGTCTCATCAGGCTACTATAACAAAATACCTTCGATTGAGTAATTTTTTT